TTTGGAAGCGGGAGGTGGGGGTGGGGGGAGGACCAGGGAGGATTCAACCACTCAACCACTAGATGACGCTGAAAACAACTAATCCTTCACACTGTGCCTTTAATCTTATCTTATTATCTTATCTTATAAGAAGTAGCTAAATGAATTTAAGCTGGGAAATAGGTAAGAAAAATATAGTTACAGTAAACTTTTACATGTTGTATTGTGAAATTGCAACATTTTTTCTCCTGGACCACATATCACTGTAAAAAAAATCTAGAAAGACATGAAAGAAAATACTGTGTAATATTACCTGATTGTTGTTGTCGGTGTGAGGTTTCTTGATGGCAACATAATGTCGGATTTTTCTGTGGAAAAAACGACAGAAATCTGTCAGATCCTTTTGATTTCATGAAAAACAAACAAAAAAACACCACTTTGAAGAGTTTACACATAGCTTACCCTCCTTGCCCGATTACAGGCATTATCTTCACCTGCTGCTGTAAGTTGTCACCAGACTTCTTTTTGGCAAAGTAAATGCCCTGCCATTCCTTCAGAAACAACAAAGCCAAAAGACTGAGAAAGACTCTTGTTTTGCAGACTGGTCAGTTTGAGATGGATGCATGGATTCAGAACTCACTTTTCCTTTTTTGATGCAGGTGTTGATTGTGTCCAGCAGGTCAGCTCGGTTCTTGTCACTTTTTGAAAGTTCATTCAGTTCCTTCCCAATCAGCTCCCCCCTGTGGTAACCCATCATCTTTTCAAATGCTGGGTTCACATACTGAAAAATGTTAGAGTCATTAATCATCAATATTCTCTTTACTTTCTTTTAAGAATAATGGGATTATTTGATTGTACAGAGCAAGTTTAATGTGGACTACAGCTCCTTTAAAACTAAACATTTTGAGCTATAACCAGAAAAAAGCACAACTATAATAACATTTTATTGGTACACATCTCTGTTCATTGGGCAATACATAAAAAGACGGTGTCTACATAGGTGTCCTAGCTAACGTCAGGGTCCCCAAAAACTCCAGTCACTTGTGTAGTCTCCGTGATCTGATTTAACCTGATCAGCAGTGTATCCCACTTCTTGTTCTGTTCAGAGTAAAAGTTCATTTTGGTATAAATGAGTCTTAGTGTTGACTACCGATGTTAAGGCTTTAGTTCGGTAGTCATTCAGGCCTGTCACTGTGGAGCGCTTGGGGTCGGGGACAATAGTGGCAGTCTTTAAGCAGGTGGGGACAGATGCCTGTGACACTGAGGTGTCGAAGATGTCTGCCAACACCTCAGACAGCTGGCGTGCACAGTCCACTTGGGGATATGCCCCCCCCCCCCCCACACACACACACACACACAAAGGGGCGTGTCCCCAGGTGGTGGTATAAGCGGGCTGTGCAGTTCATTCATGTTTGTCTCTTGTGAGGGTCTCCTTTTGTCACCCTTCATCATAACTTTTGTTAAACTATGTGTAAAGTAAATTTTGTCTAGTTCCAGACCTTCCTCAAAGCCATCACCACAGTTTCACTGGTCACTAGCATTATGTGTGTGTGATTTCCCACCTGAATTATGTGATCCTCACTGGTGATCTCAACAGGTTCTTGGCAGTGCTCCAATGCAGTGAAGACAGAGTTGCAAGCCCTGAGGATGAGTGATTCAACATCAGCTGCTTCACTACAGTGTGGTAAAAGAGTTCTGTATAAAGCCAGTGTCCATATATTGTTCAGATGCTTTTTTTCTGTACCTGAGTTTAAATTGGCAGCGCACCTCTCCATGCTCAATCTGAATGAGCTCATTATAACACACTGACACACTGCTGTTCTCCACAAACCTCTGGAGGCCAAACAGGGTTACGTGGTGTTTGAAAGAGAGGCAGAGAGAGTAGGGGAACTGAATGAGTCAGGATTTACTCAACATGTTTTCCAAACACATTTTTACACATTTAAAACACTATCAAACAGCAAAATATACTGCTGGTTGCGTGAATGCTGATTCAGAGTTTACATAGCTGTTTTCCTGTTTTTGACTTGGGTTATTTTAGATCAAATCAAAGAGTTCAGCTCATTCGGTAAATTGTTGTTATGACTTTTAGGTTGTGTTACTTTAATACTTTTCAAAATATTTAACATTTTAAACAACTGATTTCCCTATATATACTGCAATCTTTTCAGTTTTGTAAAAATATGGTTGCCTTTAAAATGTGCTTCAATGCATTTGCTTTATCTTATGCCACTTTAAGGTAAGGTAACATTTATTTATATATCAAAAAGAAAAAAATATGTAGGTCCTCTGGATGGTTCTTCTTTAGTGAAATGTTTCGTCTCTCCTCCAAAAGACTTCTTCAGTCTGATGAGTTTCAGGTGAACTCAGCCTTATAAGCTCCGCCTCCACATGGACAAAAAGGTTAGCCACATGCAAAAGAGGACCATCGCCTAACAATAGGCTTGATTAGCTCTATTAAGTCACATGCAAAAGAGGACCATCGCCTAACAATAGGCTTGATTAGCTCTATTGTTCATAGAGACTCATGTGCCCCATCACCTGACTACTGGTGGAGCCCTGATTCACACCTTTTGCTCACAGGGGGCGGAGTCATACTTGCAGTAACAGCTTTGTAGGAGGAGGACAACTGGACACGAAGGCCTCCACCTCTGTTTAATGGTGGACGGTTTTTCTTCACAAAGATGGCTTCTTTCACTCCTCTCTCAAACCAATGTTCCTCTCTATCAAGGATGAGAACATCTTCATCCCCCAAAGAGTGACCACTGGCCTGTAGATGAGTGTAAACTGCAGAGTCCTGACCTGTAGATGAGTGTAAACTACAGAGTCATGACCTGACGATGTAGCTCGTCTGTGCTGGCTCATTCTTTTGAACAGTGGCTGTTTTGTTTTTTCAATGTATGACTGAACACAGTCCTCCTGACACTTAACAGCATACACTATATTACTCTGTTTTTGCCGGGGAACTGGATCTTTGGGGTGAACCAATCTTTGTCGTAACATGTTTTGGGGTTTGAAAGCCACTGGGACGTCATGTTTAGAGAATAAACGTCAGTTTCTCTGAAACTCCCGCCACATATGGAATGACGACTGGTTTGGGTCTGGGTTTGGGGTCTTCATTTTCACCTGGTTGCTGGCTGGAATCCTGTTTGGGTTTCTTGTCTGCTAAAGAAGAACTCATCCAGAAGACTTATTTATTTTTTTCTTTTTGATTTTTTCTACCTGGATTACTGAGATGCATCAGGACATTTATTTAAATAGCACTTTTCAGCAGCAAGGCGATACAAAATGCTTCACATGATTTGAGAAATTATACAAACAAATAAAATAAAGAAAAAAGAAGGTAGAAAAAATAAGACATCATAGGCAGTAAGGTGAATAGGTAGTATAATCTAAGACATAAACTTTTACCTGCAATTCTGCAACTTCTTGTTTGTAGCTAACCTTTTGCCACTTTTAGCGTTTGCCCGCCCATTTATCACTGTTGTGGAATACTGATTATGTATCACCTGGACACTGTCCACTCGTTCCTGTTCCTGTTCCTGCAGATATGAACACTTGTTCATATCTTGTGATATCCTTCCGGATGTCAGCATCAAGCTGACCTACTTCATGTACCAGAACGAGGCACATTCTGATTGGTTGTTCACTATCACATAATGATAGTGAACAGTATAACTTTGCATGTCCGCCGATGACAGGCGGGCCCACATCTTACAGACTTCGTGATTGCTTTCTGTTTAATGTCTGCCCATCAATAAATGACTTTATAATCACACCCGCAAGACTTTGTCTTTTAAACACCCTTTTCGCCGTGGTTCTGACCATTCTTGCCACGACAGACTGAATTCAAGTATTCAGATTTTCTGCACTCCTAGAG